AAGGAATTAACTACTTTCAAGTTTGACTTAACAGTAAATTAATGCCAGTATTTAATTCAGTGACATCACACATTCTAATTTTGGAAAGGAGTCAGTTTTTCCTAAACATTTTTGGTGAGCAGGTCTCTATAGGTAGGTGTACAGGGTTGGACAAAACTTGTGCTCAAGAAGGATGGCAGACATGGGAGAAGTTGGTTTTGAGATTATGTTGGAAATGGTAGAGAGGAGTAAATTGAGAGTTCACAGGACCCCAGAGACAGAAAATATTAATTGTGAGAGCTGTCGAGAGAAGGTTTGCTGCAGATAAGAAGAACTCAGAACTACACTGAGATAAAAAAAAATAAATGGAAGCCTTGGGGTAGGAGCAGGCTTCCACTTAGCCCTCTTCCTCTAGAGAAGTTAGCACTTGATTCCTAGAGTTAATAGTGCCCAGGGATATATACCTCTCTGGATTCTCATGTCCAGTACTTGGGTATTGTATTTGCTTTCTTAAGCAAGAACCAAGCCAATATTTAATCTTCTGAGCCTCAGTTTTCAATTCCAGAACGGAAGCAGGTAAAACTGAAGTCCTGGATGTAAAATCTGAGTGATACTGAATAAGCAGTAGTTCTTGATGTAGATAACGAGAAGGGAGACGCTTGAGAGGACAAATCTGCTGTGTTGATCTTCTTAAGTATTTAAAAATACGCTTCACAAACAGGACTTTCTGTACCATTCGCTGACCTTTCTCCTCGTTTATCAAATGCATCTATTACACAAGGTAGTTGATCCTTCCAGAAAACAGCTAGACTGGCCACTTGTTAGAGATTGTCCAGAAATGGGAGATGCATACTGTGATGTATGCTTTTTCTTTTGGTCATTTGTCTCATTAAAATTTTTTACTGGAGATCTATAAAGTACACACAAGCAAATATCACTGTGTTTCATTGAATCTAAGATGCGATTCATTGTTAAGATGGTCTTTTATTTCATATATTGCTAAAAAAAGACTCCAACATATTTTCTTATCACTGGACTATTTACATGCATTCCAATTTCAAAAATGCTAAAATATAAAGAAATGTATATTAGAATCTCTGAAATCTCTGTCTAGATGGGACAATGCTTTGGTTGCAAAGATTAGTAGCTTAAGTATTTTTGTTGGTAGTATTGCTTTCTAATAAGAGTAATAATGGCATTAATACATCTTTAGAGCGAGGATTTACACAGAACATATAAATTATTGTAATACATATAAATTATTGTAATGTAGTAAAACATATGTAAAACATATAAATTATTCTAATAGCCTACAATTTGAGATAGACTGACAGGCTTTTCATTTTCTGGTTAAACATTAGAAGTTCCAAGACCATTTGCAGCATAACATGATGTAGTGTAATAAATTTTGAACCTGGAGGCTGAAGACCTAGGTGTGAAACCCTCCCCTGTCTGTCCCTTATCCGGTATGTAACCTCAAGTGAGTTAACACAGTTTTTCTGAACCTCACTTCTTATGCAGTCAACACAGAGTAAGGATGCCTGCCAAGCAGGGTGGTTGTAGAATTCAGAAAGGCATTTGTAGGCAGCAAACCTTACACAAACGGGAGCTGCTGACGTTCATTCTCAGAGCTTCTACACCGTGCACCTAGGCATTTCCCCGGTGAGGGGCCTTGAGGGGAAATCAGAAGGAAGGACTGTGGAATGTGGAGACCTTTTCCAGCATGCAGGATCCCATAGTAGAAGAATGTACGACTAAGGAAGGGAGAGGGCCTAAGGAATTAAGAGATGCTGTCTTGAGTACGGATATGGCAAGGTAGAAAAATATGACCATTGTGCATAAATAAGGGGCTGGGGTCTCTTGGCGTGACTCGAATCTCAGCAGTTGGTTGTTGCTGTGTGCAAGTTCAACAATAAGGGTGGTTCATGGGGAAATGAAATCAGCTGATTTGGAACAGAACTTTGGGCTAATTAGAAGGCAGAAAACGACCTGTGACATGCTCTCTTCTTAAATTTGATTTTTAAGTATGATAAGCTATAACCCCAATTAATTTACTTGGACATGGTTTCCATTGCTGTTTGCAGTATTTTCTTTTGGCACGTGGTTGGAGGGGATTTTCTAAGTGTTGATATTTTGTATCTCCTCACAAATCCTGTGAGTGATACATTTCCAAGGAACAATACTTGAGCAATACTTTTGCCATTGCTCTAATAATGCTCTAAGAAGAACTTGGCTGTCAAGAAAATTGGTAGTTTTTTTATAATTTAGAATTTTGGAAAGGGTGAGCAAAATTGGAAATAATTTTCCAGATGAAAAAACATACGGGGGCGGGGGACAGGGTAAGTGACTTTCCAAAGTTTTCACAGCCACATTATGACTCATTAGATCTGAGTCCTTGTCCAGATCTGAGTGTTTGTCTGCTTTATGGGAGTAAAGAAAGAAGAAGTACAAATATTTGGTGGCTTTTGGTGCTAATTCCTTCAAAGGGGACTCTGAGTGACAAATGACTGTTTTGTGGGTTAGTGCTTAACTGTCAATGAATTGAAGGCATCAGAGGTGCAAGATTCAGGGGAGTTCCACTGGGCTCCCTTGGTGCTCTGGCCTGGTCGCTGTGTGATCTTAGCCTGGTCACTTCACTTCACCTCCCACGCTCTCAGTTTGCACATTTATGAAAAGAGGAGATCCGACACAATTACACCTGGACTTTGGCTTCTTCCCTGACTGTTTTTGCAGTTATTGCTAATCACTTAGGGCGCACATTCTCCCTCCCAGTTACAGCCTTTGAATCCTTCTCACTGATCTCCAGGCCTCTAGGCAACCACTTCTAATTGATTACAGTTGGAAAGTGAAATGAAACCTATTTTCCATCCTGGACTAGATGATTTCTATGGTCCTCTGCAAGTTTTAACATTTTCTGATTTTCTGAAATTCCCAAATCCTGGCCAAGTGTCTCCCAAAAGCACTTTATTGGGATGGTTTCAGTCGTGATGAGTAAGTGGAGAAATTGTGGAAAATTCATGGTTCTTGGCAGAAAAAATAAGAAAAAACCCAACTCCAAGGGCATCATAAAGTGAGTTCCACTTGTCATCCTGTATGTGAAGGACACTGTGGTTTTAACCATCTAAAGCTTTTTTAAGCCAGTGTCAGGTAACCAAATCCAGATGGAGGGCTCTCTCTAGGCCGTTGGAAGTAAGTTTTAGGTGCTTCTCATCTCAGGTCCTGGCTCCCAGTTTTTAAGGACGTTTTGAGTTTCTCAGGGCAAGGGTAGGTGGACTCTTCTTTCCTTCCCATCAAAGACAGCCCATTTGCAACAGTTATGTTGCACATGAATTGTACTCATAGAAAACTGGCAACTTGAAGAGGACAAAAACATACTTTGTCCATTGCCTTATAAAATGCTAATACTGAGTTATTGATTTACCCGTGATTCCTCTGTGAGGTCTTACCAGCCCAGTGTGGAGCATTTGTGTTATGTTTAGTCCCGTAGCTCCTGATCCTTTGGCCGTTTTGACCATGTCCTGCCTAAGCGAGAGGCACGGTGATGATGACCCTGGTAGTGACAAATCTCCCCAGATAGAGTGATTCTCAGTAATCACTTTCTTCCCTTTTATGGCTATTTTTTCATGGATCCTTTTACATTCTCCTCTAGCATTGGTTTGTGGGTGGGATAGAGTACAAAATGCTAAAGCTTTTCTTCTATTTCTTTTTTTTTTTTTTTTTTATGCTTCTTACCCTAAATGCCATTTTGACCTGCCAGGTTGGCGTTACAATGGATGTTGTTTTTTTCCGGCACCGCGCCCCTGGCTGCCCCCTGCCCAGGAGTCCAAGTAATAACTTAATAGCCTCTGGCCTCCTCTGAGCACCCTTTGACAGGGCTTTGTGAGTGGCAAAGCACACAGATGGAGGCACGTGCACACTTTGTGACACTGTGGCCCCCATTAGCTGGAGCTGGAACAGATGCGATTGGAGTGGCGAATGTGCCTTCTCAGACAGGGCTCCACACCCCTCCCCCATGTGGATGCAGATATGTTTTGACGTCTTGAAAAGAAGGATTAGCCCAGACTGTGTCCTCCTGCAGCCTCCACACACCCTGTTCCTGTCATTCCAAGGCCTGGAGTTTGGCTTCCCCTCATTGTTTGCCGTCTGAACCCCTCAGTCTCGGCAACTCCTGAATGCCTCTGTTGTCCAGACATGCTGCCAGAAACTGAGATCTCTTCTCAGAGCTGGGAGCTCTGTGCCCAGGAGTCCAAGTAATAACTTAATAGCCTCTGGCCTCCTCTGAGCACCCTTTGACAGGGCTTTGTGAGTGGCAAAGCACACAGATGGAGAGGACCATCACAGTGCTCCTTGTTCCCCAAATCAGGCGCCTTCTCAGCCTGTGTGTTTACTGAGAATGAAACCCCCAAAAGAATTTGACACAAAGGGGTGAAAATCAATAGCATCAGATCTTCCAGTGAAAGCTGGGGAGTCAGCATGAACTCTCTTGATACACACACACACAGTGCACTTTAATTCTAGGCCTCCTTTGTAATTTCATTTTTTCAACTTCCGTTTCAGTTACCTCCTGATGTGCTCAGTGCTAGTCTGATATTTCTTAAGTGTTATGTAATTCTTCCCAGCCAACTTGGAAGGCTTACAGATTTCCAACTTAGGATAATACTTGACTCAGTGGGATAAAACAATTTGAAGCTCAGTTCCCCTCCCTGCCTTCACAGCCAAACGTGAAGGAGTGATATCTCAATACGGCAGCCAGAGACTTGAGTTTAAGTCCAGATTGGATCCTTCGATCTAACATTTTATGACATTTGATTGAATGAGATTGGTACTCAAAAGTATGCGTACGTGTGTTACTCGAAGAGCAATCTGCTTCTTGATGGGTTCTGATGTTGTATCTGAACCTAATATATTTTTTAAATTGCCTGTCCCCTCATGACTATGAAAGCCTGGTGCCTGTTCAAGCTTGCTTTTCTTTTGACTGCATATTACTGACACTATGTTTTCTCCTTTTTTATTCATTTTAGGAAAGTATGCCTCAGACTCCTCCCTTTTCAGCAATGTTTGACAGCAGTGGTTATAACCGAAACCTCTATCAGTCTGCAGAGGACAGCTGTGGAGGGTTGTATTACCATGACAACAACCTCCTCTCCGGATCTCTGGAAGCACTCATCCAGCACTTAGTGCCTAATGTGGATTACTATCCGGATGTAGGTATCCACGTTCCTCCGAAACACATCCTGGGTATTCAGCAGAAATTACAGTGTAATAGTCAGGGACCCTAGATACTATAGAATTGTAGCTGGGTTGCTAAGAATTTTTCAAGTAAGAAATTGCATATTGATTATTGAGTGCTGTAAGATCAAATTGAGCCTGGGTATGATTCAGATTTTGGTTGTTGTCTGCCTATCAGTTTCTTTTCGGGGTTGGCATCACATGTGGGCAGTCAGATACCATCTAAATGAAGTTTCTATAGGTTTGATTCAAACATATACCTTGGTCCTTAAATAAAAATTCCAGAGAACATTGGATGCTCCCAGAATATTTAATGCCTTTTTTGTTTCCAAAACCATCAGTATGCTGAGAAAAGTGGAATTAGAGAGGGAAACTTCATAGAAAAGAGAACAAGAGTTATATTCTTTGTAGATCGGACGTCACATGACATGCTTGCTTATATTTTACTTTGATAACTGACATTTGTACAAATAATAATTTCTAATCTAGGAAATTCATTTACATTTTCTCAGTCTTTATAGCAGTTCCAAGAGGCTAGAGAGGAGGAAACTGAAATTCGGAATGTTGAGTCATTTTTGCGTGGTCTCACTCCCAGCATCAGCATTCAAACTGAGATTTTCTATTTCTGGGACAAGTGATGTTTTTTGCCCTTCCCTTGTGCTACAGCTGTCCCTGTCACTCAACAGCTGGTTGTTGATAAAGATTTCATGAAAATATCCAGATACTAGATTCATCTGTTTTTATAAATAAAATAATGACCTTAGTGTGCAAAGGATAGTTTGTGCTTGCCACTGTAATTCACCGTGATGTTTCTTACTGAGTTATCTCTCTGTGTGTGATTTGTTACATAGCATTTTCAAATATGTTGCCACACAGGGAAAACTTGTAATCAGAAGTAAAAGGAATCCCTTGTTCAGCCCTGTAAGTGTTTATGAGCTACGAAAGGCGCCTAAGGGGGTAAAAAAAAACCATGGAATTTTTCTTTTCATTGGGAGTCTGAAACTATTATAACAAATAAGCACTACTTCATTACTGGCTTCTTGGGAGACAATGTGGTTAAAGAAAAGTATAGTATAGTGTGATATTGTGTTTTATCGAATTGCTTAGCCTTTGAGCAACTAAATATATTACTTGAAAGCCTGCCTTTGAATTTTCTGACATAAGCACACAAACACTCCACTGTGCCACACTGGACACACTGGAGAATTCTTGAGTTGATGTGGGTTGGGTGTTTTTTTTGGTTTCCATTGAGTTAACGATAATATTTGGACACAGAACAAGATTCTGTATGGGTGATATATTAAAGTTAGCTTTATCTCTCTGGGCTGAATTTCATTCTTCTTTACTAGAGTGAGTTATGTGTCGTGGTATCCTGGCTCCCAGAGGATGAATGTGAAAATGTGCTGTGAATAATTTCAGTAGCTAAACTTATCCTTTACTTCTGTTACTTTTAGTATGGTTTAGGGGAAAAGATACATCAGAAGGTAAAGGAGAAATCCACCTTACAGTATTTTTCTACTAGTAAGCATCACTTTTGAAACTGCAGCATGTTAACTTTGATCAAGAGAACTTGATTAAAGAAGATGTATAGTGTATAGGAAAGATGTTAGTTTCAGAGGGAATGTAACCGTGATGACTTTTTTCTTTTGCCACAGAGAACGTACATATTTACCTTCCTACTCAGTTCTCGGTTATTTATGCATCCGTATGAGCTAATGGCCAAGGTTTGCCACTTATGCGTCGAGCACCAGAGACTAAGTGATCCTAATAGTGATAAGGTAATGATATGTTTTGAACTTTACAATTTTTTCTATTAGGGTTGGTAACTCTATGGCTTAGATTCTGTGAAGTTGGTTTCCTTAAGTAATCCTGGCTTATCCCCTGGCTGAGGTGTGTAAATGGTCATGGCTCTGCAAAGGGAATTGGGAATGGTATAAAGAACACAATATAAATCTAGTGCCATGGAAGAACCCTAGAGCCTGCCTTAAGTTGGTGGCACTTGGCATTGACTTGGGGGAGGGGGACTAGAGCTTTGTCTTCAACCCCAAAGACTTTGCACTGGAAGTTTATCAGTGACACTGTTTGTAGTTATTTATTTGATGTAGTCCATGGATAGATGGATAGATATCACTGAATTAGATTTGCTTTTTCTCTCTAGAACCAGATAAGAAAAATTGCACCTAAAATCCTTCAACTCCTGACAGAATGGACGGAGACGTTTCCTTATGATTTTCGGGATGAAAGAATGATGAGAAACTTAAAAGATCTGGCTCACCGAATAGCCAGTGGCGAGGAGGTTGGTAACTTGAATTCAGCACAACCACTGGAATTTCCAGGCCTTGACAGGAAAGAGTACTGAATTATGCATCAGAATCTCCACTGCTTCCTTTCTGTTTTGCTTTGGGCCTGTCCTCTACAGAGCATGTTGGTCTGTTTGGTGTGTCAAACAGGGATGATTATACAAGCCCACTTCAAAGGGATACGATCTAGAGTTTTTTGTGATTAATTTGGGGGTATGTTCATGTCAGTTCATGCACTGGATTCATGTTGCAAGTGTTTTAATTTTGCTTTACTTTATACCTTTCTTCCTTCCAAAAAGGTTTGACGTAGCAAGTTAGATAATAAATATCGTATTAGTAGATATAAACACTAACATATAAAATAAATAACATATTAATATATTAACAGATAATAAGTAGTATATTAATAAATCATAAATAGCGATAGTTTGTACCATGGAAGGGAGAAGGCAAATATGCTAAGGCTGGGAACCAGTAGACTAGGATAGGACTGCTGTGATTGAGGGTAAGCTCCAGGTAAAAGGGAAATATAGTTGGTTATTTAATTTTCACCGTCAGAAAAGAGAAGACATACTAATCTTGAGGGCATTAAATTAAATGAAATTTTAAAAAACTTTCTGATGAGGGACTTTATATAGGGGGCATAGAATGAGATCATGAAAACTGCTCTGTGTTTATAGCAAATGTTCTTTGATGAAAACTGGGGCCATAAGATTAATGTGTAAATTAGCAAAGGTAATTCTCTGGGAGAGAAGACAAAGAGAAAAGGATCCAAGTCTTCTGGTGCCCAGAAGTTGATTCAAGGCTAGCACCTAGAAGGTGGAGATGGAAAGTAAGCCTTTTAGATAATCTTTCATAAATATCACTCCTCTCAATTGAGTCTTTGATAAGAGCTAACTAACTGTGACAAATTCAAAGTTTTCCTCTTTGAAGCAGGCCCGGAGGGCTGGTATTCTGTGTCGAGGCTTGTTGGGCAGGGATGTCTTTGTAGTGTCTGTGTTTCTGGTGAGCCTCTGGGAATAAGTCACTTAGGCACTTAACAACATTTTCATGTAGGAAAAGAAGCATTTGGCAGGTGCAGTGATGTCTTGTTTCATTGTCTTAAAATGCATTTCCCCATTACCAGTAACCTTTGAGAACTCATTCTTCCAGTGGTGTGCTGTAAGATCGTGTAACAAGACACCCTATCTATTCTACTTCTGGTGAATACATTTTGATACCATTTCCTCCAACTTAAAAAAAAATCTGTCTAAAATTATATAAGATTAGCCCTTGAAAAATTTGCATTTGCTTCTCCACATTATGTTCTCATGAAAGTGGAATTAACCCTTTTACTGTTTTCTTGTGATATTATATTGAACCTTGGTGCTCAAGACAGCCATTATATCTAAGGCTGAATGAGTGGTTTCCTGAGTCATTTTGCAAGTTATGACTGTTATTGTCATGTTGCCAGTTTGCGTGTAACAGTTTCTAGCAAGGTTATGAATTGGTAGGTCCCTCACTCACAAAGGCAGAAGTTAAGCATCACAGTGCAGTTTTGTAGTAAATCTTACATTAGAGGGGTTAGCTGTTGGGTTGCTTGGCAGGGTCAATGCTGGCTCAGTGACCTTAGTTTATGACAAGCTGCTCAAAAGATTAGTGGCATCATAAGGACTTTTTCTTGTATGAAGTCTGAGCCCTCAGTCAGTCAGCGCTTCATTTCAGTTAAGTTGTATTTAGGTACTTAACTTGGTATGGCAGTCAGCTTACCTTCCCTCTACTGCCTTTTTAAAAAGTAGAAATAGTGACTTGGTCCTTTCCAAAAGGAACGCCTTAAAAACTGTTTTCTTTTTTAGATAAAAAGTTAGTATTTTGAAGCCAAATGGATGGCTTTTTGTCCTTCTTGTCATGGGAGCCAGAGAGGGCGATCATTTCTATCTGTGTTGGCAGACTGGATCCTATCTTTTCTTTGACAGGATCAAGCCACTAAAGGGTTGGGTGGGACTGCAGAAAGGGCCAAACAGCCTTCTAATCTGGCGTCTAATCAGCGCTCCTGTGTTAATAACAAATCCCTGATAAACCTTGAGATTTTCAGATGGTTTTGAGTGTGAAAAGAGGAGATAAGAAGATAAGCAAAGTCTAACCTAGGAATTGATTAACCTGGGAGTTGAGTGGAGAGAAGTCACCTGCCTTGGTCAGGTTGGGCTCTACAGTAAGATGTTGTTCCTTTGGCTGCCTCTATCCAGTGTTCAGATTCAGGTCCACACTTGGCACCTAGTTGATCTGAGTGGGCTTTGGCAAGTCCCTAAATTCCTTGTTCTTTCTGTGTTTCTATAAATCACAGAGGTAATTGCCCTGTGTTCATGTCACTTTTAGCTCTAAAATTTTGTGATGGTTGCTCTTTCCTCAGTTCTTTGGTTGGCAGGCCACTTACCTGTCATGTGCTTAAGTGTCTTTCCTCAGAGACCTTCCCTCACCAGCCCAACCACAATCACCACCCACCCACCCCCACCCCGTTATTGGCTTCCACCACTGTTTCCTTCATAGCACTCTGTGATTAGTAATCGCTTGCTTTTTATGACTTGTTTTTTCCCCACTAGACTCCATGCTGTGCCCCATTTGCTCACTATAGCATCCCTAACTCCTAGCTCAGTGCCTGGCATTTAATAGGCACCCAGTAGTGTTTGAATGAATGAACGAATGAATGAACGAACTAATTAATTACTGGAATAGGAAAAAAATATTTCCCTCCACAGGAGGGAGTGTGGGCTTGAGTTGGGACTTGTTGCTTCTTGCCTGGGATTTTAGGGATTTTTTTTTTTTTTTGGTAGTCAATGAATCCAGTTGTGCCCTATATATAATTATGTCGGGTTCTTGTGAATCTCCTAGGACAGTTCTGCATAATTTGGGTTAATATGTACCCCCCTGGGATTTGCCCAAAATGAAGTGGTTTATTAGGATTTGCCTGCAATAAACATGAAATGAAACTAATGATTGAATTACATGACAAATGACTATAGTGGGTAGAATGCAATTTTCTCTTCCTTAAGGGGCTGATCTTTATTTGCCAGGTAATTACTGTCACTGGCATGTGACATTATAAAAAAGAATAAGTACATATTTAGCAATTCGTGACTCAGTAAGGAAGCATGCTTAACAAGACAAAACTTGGTTTCTCAAATGGAATCACATGGCAGCAGGAAACTTTTAAAAGAAGTCATACACATACATATTCTCTCTCTCTCTCTCTCTGTCTCTGTCTCTGTCTCTCATACACACACACACACAGATTAGTTCTTTGTCATTTAAATAGCTTTTCCTCTATACCTTATTGTATACATTTTTCCTTTATGTTTTGCTCATTTTTGCTCACCAGCTGAACCCTTTACTGAACATTTCTCTACCTCGTCCCTAAAAAATCATTTTTTAAAGTGTAGAATGAGAATGTTTCACCAGATATGCTGGTAGAGCATTGGTTCTCACACTTTGCTGCATATCACAATCCCCTGGGGAGTATTTACTATGCCATTTGGGACAGAAGACTGAAAAAAACATTTTAAGTTCACAAGTTTTGAAAGTAACTCAAGATTATGAAAGTAGAAGAAGCAAGAGAAATAGGGATTTATTTTATTTTTATTTATTTTGTTTTATGGAGGTATAATTGATGTATAACATTATATTAGTTTCAGGTATACAACATAATGATTCCATATTTGTATATTTTGCAAAATGATCACTACAGTAAGTCTAGTTAACATCCATCACCACACATAGTTACAAAGATTTTTTTTTCTTGTGATGAGAAGTTTTAGGATCTACTCTCCTAAGCAACTTTCAAATATGCAGTACAGCATTATTAACTATAGTCACCACGCTGTACATTACATCCCCAGAACTTATTTATTTTATAGCTAGTAGTTTGTGCCTTTTGACCATCCTTACCCATTTCACCCACCTCTTATACCCCAGGATAAGGAATTTAAAATAGTCCTCAATTTAGCCTTGAACTGCTTTGAATTCCAAAGAAAGAGGCCTTTTCTTTGAGTGACAAGCGTATTACCAAATAGATGTCGTCTTCTAAATTGATAACCTTAATGCTGTGTGGAAGAGAGGTTTTTTGAAGGTTCCATTTTTTAAACATGTAGGTATTTCATTAGTGATTTTAGGGTGGGTTGTGAATAGAGAGAGAAAAAAAGGTCATCTAGTAGACAAGTTTAAAGAACTCTACAGACAAGTAGAGAAGAAGGAAAGAAAAAGAAGGCTGTGTTTGCTTTTTTGCCTTGACTATGTGAGAATTCATCATTTTCAGATGTGTTTGTAATTTTCCTTGGCTTAGGTATGCAACTATCTATTCATTTGAGTTTTTGCAATATGCTCTGGTAAACCAGATTGCCTCTGTAAAAAATTCTGGTACTTAAACTTGTAGGTAAGATGCCATTTAATTTTCAGATAATTAATGTCAGAAAATGATATCGTGGTACCTTTTTAAAAGTTGCTGGTTAGGCAGTGAAGCATGAGCATAGGATTTTCTACAGCTGTAAATTCACTGGGACTATCCTCCTGGGGCTGTTAACCTGTGGACCAAGTTAGCACTGAATCGGCCTGGGTGCCTTTCTTTGAAACGGGCATCATATTTACCTAGAAGGACAATTGTTGTTTGGCAATTTTGGGCTAGAAAAGGAAGAATAAAAGAACTCCACAATCCATATCACATCATAACTGTCCCCTAGGGATTGATTGATTGTGAGGCGATTTCTTTGACTTAACAAGTGTTAAGTCAAGAGATTGACATTTATCTATAATACATGCATTGCCTTTAGGACCAATTTCTCTTAAGTGTTGTGGCTGTAGCATAATGCAGTAGTGAACAAGGTGGCAGCTGCTAGTAGCATTACAGGAGCATTGCTGTGTGGAAGAGTTTGGTTGTGAACATCATCACTGACTCGCGAATGCAAAAGAAATGGACGTGACCCAAATGGAGGTCAGATACCAAAAGTGAATATCCACTGCTTCCTTGTGGTAGCCCATGTTATACGTGGAAGTCAGGAAGGTAGTGAGGGGGTGAGTGGGAAGTAATGGTGTATTTCTGTCAGGTAGCTGTCTGTGCCCTTAGACTAATGAGATTGGGAATAATAGGAGTGGGGAGATCAAGAAGGTGGCATTGAAGAAAAAGTGTTAGGCAAAGGATGCTCTGATTTGAGATCAATGCATTTTAACCAACAAAAGTAAACAGTATATTCCTGTGCCTGCCCAGAGAACATTTAGTTATATGTGGTTCTTATTACACTGGATTCCCTCAGTAGCTAATCTAAAAGGTCAATGTAGTGTTTTCATGGCCTAACCTGAAGTGCACTCTCAAGAGCAGCCTGAGAAAAGGACTAAATCTTACAGGTCCGAATAGACACTTTATGTGTGTCTCTTTTAAACCATTAGAGCTAGGCTGAGTCCTCCTCTAACTCCCCTGAACCAAGGTGGTTCTCCAATATCAAAGTAAGATCATTTAAGTACATAGTCTCTGAGTTTGTATAGTGGTGAAAGTAGACATGCAGAGCGAGGATGTAATTCTTTGCTGTTTCCCTGGCAGACATATAGGAAGAATGTCCAACAGATGATCCAGTGTCTAATCCGCAAACTTGCTGCACTCAGCCAGTATGAGGAAGTCCTGGCGAAAATCAGCTCCACATCGACAGATCGGCTCACAGTCCTCAAGACCAAGCCACAGTCCATACAAAGGGACATCATTACTGTCTGCAGTGACCCTTACACGTTGGCCCAGCAGCTGACTCACATAGAGCTGGTAAGGCCGTTGTCATCCTTGCCCTTTACAACCACAGACTTGGTTTGCTTTGGCAACCAGACAACGTGTTTGTCAGCAGTAATGTCACAGGAGAGGTTAGAATAATCCATATGAGACATAATCTACGAAATAACTGGAAGATGTTTTGTTTAGACATTTGAATATGAATGTTTCTGATATTCTGGGAATTCACTTTAAAAATAAATACTAAGCAAGGCTGAAGAGCAAAGAGTTTATGACCTTCCTCTTCTTCCCCTTCTAGTTAATTTTTCCATAACTTGCTCAGTCTTTCAGTATCTGGTGAAGCATTGAACTAAGCAGAAAATTGCCTCTGTTCAGACCTTGAAGATGATGACAATATCTAGGGTTAAAGGCTCATTTTACAAGCTGCATAAAAAACTGGGGCTGGGGGTAATGCCAAAAGTCAGCAGATGGAGTTGAGAATTTATTCTCATTTTCTCGAATCCTGTTGACCTGCTGGGTTTGTGTTTCAGGAAAGGCTCAATTATATTGGGCCAGAAGAATTCGTTCAGGCATTTGTGCAGAAGGACCCTTTGGACAATGACAAGGTAATCATTCTACCTGGAGGTCAGCCCTGAAGTGGGAAATGGAATTCCTCAGTCTGTGACAGTGGGTGCAAGAGACAGAAATGGGAGCTATTTTGTTTTAGGTTTTAAAATCAGGAAGTTTTTTTTCATTAGCCATGTCTGATTCATTGCAGTTTTTTTTGAGCCAGGTCTCCCACTGTCTATACATATTCTTATCCTGTCACCAACTTTTAGCCTCTTTTTCCTCCTTATTGGGAAATTTATTAAGCAAGTGGAGGCAGGCATTTGTGGAGATGGAGGTAGGAGATAAAAGCATAATGATTTCAGCAGATTAAGTCAGAAAGAAAATACGAGAGAATGCTCTGCTCATGATTCGACAATAGCGGGGGCAGTAAAGACAGGATGCACATCCCGTGTGCTGAGGAAGGGTCTTTACCACTTTGCCTCTTGTTTTAAAGTGAATCCCTCATGACAGGTTTATTGCCTGAGTGAAGCCCACATGTAAAGAAAATAACACTGGCAATGTACTATAAAATCAGTGTATGTACATAAGAAATTTTTTCCCCAGTGACCTCTAGAAGCATTTTGAATTGTTAGGCAAAGACCGTATCACCCACTGATGAAAGCTCCCTTTTGGGAGCAGGGGCAACAGCTGTTTTCCGGCCTTAGAATAGTTTCCCTCAGTACAGGAAGTGAAGATTAGGTTTTGCAATAGAGGGCTAGTGGACTTTTTTGTTTGTTTCTTTTGGAAGGAAGGAAAGAGGGGTATAATTAACCTGTTCAGGCTTGGCCTTGAACTCTGAGATGAGCTTAAATCCTTTTGCTTTTGAACAATGTGTCATTCACCTTACTGAAGACCATGATGGTGTAGACTTCCATTTGTCTGCCTTGGAAGATATTTAGTTGTTTGCTACATAATGCTCCAAAATTTTGTCCTAGACTTAATTTCAGAGAAAATTTTCTAGTCTCCTGCACTCTTCTTCTCCTTGCTGTGTTGATAGCAGTTGGTATTCATACCCCCATTCATCAATTAAGATTGTTTTAAAATGCAGCCCAAAGCGCAGCCCAAACCCTTCCTTTGAGTTGTCTTTCTGAGGACAGTTCTTACTCAGAGTACCTTCATTTCCTGGGAGGGAAGGGTACCATCATGAATGTATCAGAATACATTTCTAGATCTTAGAGGTTTCACTGGACTGTACTAAGGGATTTTGATATTTCTGTAAGGAGAGTCAAGAATGTTAGTGTTTCTCTGTCTCTCTCTCTTTTCCTAGAAAGCTTTCCTAATCCATAAACTGAGAATAAAGGCCCATATCTGACAAAAATGAGGCCCATATCTGACAAAAATGAGAACCTAATACACTTTTTTTTTCCTCCAACTCATCTACTCCCTTTGCTTTCTCTTTAGACTTGCTACAGTGAACGAAAGAAGACACGAAACCTAGAGGCATACGTGGAATGGTTTAATCGCCTCAGCTACTTGGTTGCTACAGAAATCTGCATGGTGAGAAAATGAATTTTCTCTGCCACCTATCTCTCTATATTATTTTTTCCTACTTATTTTACATCTGTTGGGGCAACATGTTGGATAACTGCCCTCTATTTTCTTTTTCTGTACAGCCTGTGAAGAAGAAGCACCGAGCAAGAATGATTGAGTATTTCATTGACGTAGCTCGCGAGTGTTTTAACATTGGCAACTTTAATTCCTTGATGGCAATAATCTGTGAGTGTTTTCTGGAAGATACATGTCCTTTATTTTTATAGGTCCTATGAAATGTATCCACTGAAAATTTGCGAATAGTACAGTTTTATTAATGAAAACTGTACTTTTTAATCCTTAATTGTTTCAGAACATTCAGAATTCTTTAAATATCCAAATTGGTACAAATATGGATAATCTTTTTTAAGTATACAGGAATTCATGGAATACATTTAGTATTTAATTTCCCTTTTATATCTTTAAGAAAATGTCAAAGCAAGCCGTATGATAGGAGAAAATATTTGTAATACGTATAGGTGAAAAAGAACTTATATCCAGAATCTATAAAGAACTCTACAAATCAATAATAAAAAGGCAAATAACCCAAGGGAAAAAAGGGTAAAATACTTGAACAGACACTTCACAAAAGCAGATATGCTAATGGATAATAAGTATATGAAATGGTGCTCCACATCATTAGTCATCAGAGAAATACAAATTAAAATCACAGTGAAATACCATTTCACATGCTGGAATGACTTAAATTAAAATGACTGGTTGAACCAGATATTGGTGAGGATGTGGAGCACGTGGCACTCTCAGACATCACTGGTGGGGGCGTAAAATGGGACTGCTACTTTGGAAAACTATTTGGTAGTTTTTTATAAAGGTAACTTACTTAACTTAGTAATGAACACTTTTTTGGAGTGTAAGTGAGAATGGTTTTTCTTATTTCACTCTTTCAACTTTCTCCCTCGCACCCTCCATTTTAAATGGGAAGCTGGCATGAATATGAGTCCAGTCTCTCGACTCAAAAAAACTTGGGCCAAAGTGAAGACTGCAAAGTTTGACATTCTTGAGGTATGTGAAGCTGATGTTTTGATAAGTTACATTTTACACCTGGAAAGTGGGATTCCTCTATGTGGTCTTGCTTCTTGATCAGATAGTACTAGGGACGAAAGCCCCTCTCTTCTTACAGACCCGGGAAAGGAAAGGGAGTATGAACAGGTGGCGGGGTGGGGCGGAATAAATCAGGTGGTAGACTAGTCCTTTCCTAGAAAGAGGCGTCCGTTTTAGGGTGAATTGACTGAACAAATGGTGACCTGTCAGTCACATCACATCGTATGCCAGGATGGAATTTGGGTCCTGAACTGTTGGGAGTTCTACTCTAGTGTGGGCCTACTCACTTCATTTATTTAGTGTCCCCGGGAAGGAGTTCCCATCCCTACAGAAATATTCATTCACCATCCTTTCAACAAATTTAGCTAACCTGTGAAAAAGCCTTTGCAATATAATTCTGAGGGTAGTAAGAATTGTACATAAGGGCATTTGTGTTTGAATCATATTCATGTCATTATTACCTTGGTGTGTTAGTGTTTTGAATCTACTGTCTTTGGAGATAATAAGAAAGTGTACTTTCCTAAGTTTTCCCCCAAATTGGGAATTATCATTGGCTATATTACATTATGCTTTATTCATATTGTCTAATATATTTCTTTTCCTTCTTGTAAGACACTATGCTTCAGTTATTTGTGAGTGATTTGCAAAGAATAGGTTCACCCCAGAGTGTTGGATCACTATATGTGGCTAACCATCAACTGACTCATTAACCTTCAGATGAAACCAGAAAATTGTTTCTTATGTTGGTGTTTGACTCTTTGTTATCAGTTTTAAGTCTAATCTCAACAGTTAACCTGGAAAGAATTTGATCTAGGTTTATCATTAGTGAAGCTGAGATCAGCTTGTATAAATAAACCAGACCTCAGGAAAGAAAAATTTGTGTTCTGATGTGTCTCGTGCCTGTGTGTGTGTGTATGAGAGGGATAAATCATATTCTTAATGAGTTCCCTAACTTATTTTGAATTTTTTCTGTAGAGTTAAACGTATGATCTTGTAAACTTCCTGCAGGTGAGAAGTAAATAATTTATACTCTCCCCTTTTTTGTCTATAGCATCAGATGGACCCTTCAAGCAATTTCTACAATTATCGAACAGCTCTTCGTGGGGCAGCACAGAGGTCTTTAACTGCTCATAGTAGCAGAGAGAAGGTATGTGTTTAAAGGAGTTTTATTCCTGGTCGAGTTGCCATGTGTTGCACTGGAAGGCAACCTGAACCACTACATTGAGCTTCTTTTACCGCTTCAGATCTAAGAAAGAAAGTTGATACACTGTAGAAATTCTATCACTTGCCACATAGGTAAGGGGGATGGGATGCTGAAAGCAAGTTGGACTGTGGAAAGGAAAAGGTGACTTGGCGTAGAAGTTTGCAAATGTACGTTACTGCGTTATTATTGCATTATTTAAATGATTATTTTGTAGTGTGTCTTAATTGTGTTTCAAGCAATAAATGAAGTAATATGTTAAGATGACGAATGGCATTAGAGACTAATTTGATTTCATGGAAAATAGACATTTAAGCTCTGCACAAGGTAGCTGACTTAATGTAACCTTTTCTCTTGAAAGAATTAGCTTACCTCCCACGGTTAAGTCATTTATTTTCAGAAAGTAGGTTAGTTGCTGTAGCATTAGACCTGCTGTTACTAATTGGAGACGTGGTGGCAGAAAAAGTACAGGAATGATGTCTGAGAAATTAATGATCCTTACTCTCCCCTACCCTTCAACAATTTAATACCATCCTGGATCTGCCATACTCTTGACTCTGAGAGTCCTTTCTTGGCTCATTTCAGTGTCATATTTCCTTATATAGGAAGGATAAGTTGTTTCCACATTTGGGGATCATGTTATTTCAGAAGTAAATACCTGGTTATGGTAAATGGGCTAATGAAGTTTGCTTGACGAAACTTATTTTCTGCTTAGATTCTGTCCATCTTTTAACCTAAACTGTATCTTTAACAAATAAAAGAAAATGAGGGTAAAAGACATTTCAGGGCATCTCAATCACTTCCCTCCAAAAAGCTTTCACCTCAGTGATCTAAAATAAAAACAAACACAAAAAGAAAGCCCACCTTTTAAAAATGCCAAATTTGTTCTCAACAAAATCCAATATATCAGTTTTGATAATGTTTGAGAGATAAATTTTTATTTTTTAAATAAACAAGGTCAGAGAGAGGACGAAGCAGAGCTGTCTTGATTTAGCCTGGTGGAGTTTACCAGCTTTTAAACTTTACTTGCCCAAATCCAAGTACTCCTGTGACTAGACTGAAAAAGATCTGATTGGAGGTTTTTTAAGCTTCGGAAAATCAGTGTGTGCGTCGGAGGATCCCAGCGCCGTGAAGTGTCAGGATATGTTGGAGGCTGTCTGCAGCCTCTCGTTCACCTGTCCGTGTTGGATGAGGGACTCTCTCTGCATGACCCTCAGTGAGAGTTAGGTGGGCCCTGGGTCAGCGAGGAGGCCGTGGAATCCTCTCTCAGTAGGGAGCTGCAGCACTGGCCCAAGTAGTTCTGAAGTCCAGTCCCCTAAAAAGGACCTCAATGAATATTGTATTTATGGGACTCTAATAGCTGTTTTAGAAAAAAATCCAATTTACCCTTTCCATCATTTAATAAATTCTGTCTGCTTTAGTTTTGTTATTTTCTTAAAATAACACACAATTCCAGCCATGTGAATTGTACTGTCTAGTGCATGAAACAAATCACCACCATTTAAAAAAAATATGCTGTTTCTCTTTAACAATTGGTCTCAAAGGCTATGAATGAAAACATTTCTGGATAAAATCTGTCTTTTACTCAAGAGAATTGGGATTCTTTTTCCTTTTTTGAAGTGAGGGTAAACTCTCTTTATTCCTAAGTAATTCCTATTTTAAAATCCTCATGGCAACATGACTCGAGTAATAGAATGTTTGCTGTTCTTTCAGATCTTAAGTTTATGTGGCCACAGTGGCACATCTCTAGGTATCATGTCATAGAACAAATCAAATCTGTCTTCCACACAGAGGCCCTTAAATGATCTTTAAATAGCTATTTTTTCTATGGGTTCTCATGTCTCTGTGCTTAATTGAGGGCAAACCTGTGTTATTTGATTTAATCCTCACCACAATTCAATAAGGTAGTTACTACTGTTCCCATTTTAAGGTGAGGAAACTAGACTTTCTTAGTATGTTAGGTTTATACCAGCGGTTGGCAAACTTTTTCTGTTAAGGGCCAGATCATAAATATTTTAGGCTTTGTAGGCTATATGGTCTCTGTTACAGCTCCTCAAGTCTGATGTAGTTACATGGAAGCAGACATAGTATTACAATACATGGATGAATGAATGAGCATGGCTGTTTTCTAGTAAAGCTGTCTGGCCACTGTAATTTTAATTTCATATAATTTTTATGTTCACAAAATATTATTCTTCTCATTTCTTTCCAGCCATTTAAAAATGTAAAATGTACAGCTTCTAGGTCATACCGAAACAGGTGGTGGGCTTGAGTTGGCCCATGGACCACAATTTGCAGACTCTTGGCTTATAATGCTAGTAAATTCTGGAGCTAGATTTTAAACTGAGGTCTAACAGAATCCAGGGCCCAGCGCTTCCCGTCACAAGTGGTCTTTCAAAGAAGCAAGGTTCGGGGGTGCTTTATCATGGCTACTGTGGCTATTTAGTTCTAAAATAATAGAGAAATAGCCAGTAATATTTGAAGGAGAAGGTAATGAGAGGATCTTTACTAATTCAGCTGTAGAAACTTCCACGGACAATAGCAAATGATCAATAGTATATTCAAAGGGGCTGTCAAAACTGAAGATTCACTTTGGCTGTTTTCAGAGATCAATGAAACAAAAAATAATCCAAGCTTGTTTCTTTTTTTTTTTTTAATGACCTTAGGGGAAAATCTGAATTTCTCTATAGAAGTGAAAATTGATGCTTAATATTTTTGTGTATGAGCCAAAACGTATGTTTTCCAGACCTCCCATTCATTTAGTGTAGATGTACCACATGAGTCATAAGCTTAGAGAAACTTCAAAAACCTGCTCTTGGGTAAACAACATAGGCCCACAGTTTGTGTTTGGAGCATTATTTGCCTTGTAGCAAATTTAGAATCTTCAAAATAATGTTGGCATTTGAGAGAAAGTGGAAGTTAGAATGTCTAAACTCTGTTCTTTGTTCCTTATGGGCTGTGTAGGGTTTAGGATACTTTCTTAGAGATTAATATTTTAGGTTAATTAATTAAATACAACCTCTTCAAACCAAAGATGTGAGGCAGAAAAGTCTTACTAAAGAAGGTTCATTGTTTTTTAAACAACCATCAATTTTAATTTATTTTAATTTACACGTTTATATTCTTTCTTCACTTGGGCAAATCTCACAACATGTTTTGCAAGGTGCTTCTCCGATGATTTCCTATGAGAACAGGTGCTTACTTGCTCTGTCATACGAAGACCAGGTTTACTCATTAGAAAGTCTGTAGCAACTATTACCTAAAACCCTGAGCTCTCACGTTATCTTGAGCAGTCTTCAAGGGTAAAATAAAATGTTCGTCTAAAATGTAGACGTCTAGGGGCCAGCCCAGTGGCGTAGTGGTTAAGTTCATGCGCTCCACTTCAGCAGCCCAGGGTTTGCAGGTTCAAATCCTAGGCACGGACATATACATCGCTCATCAAGCCATGTTGTGGCAGGGGTCCCACATATAAAATAGAGGAAGATGGGCACAGATATTAGCCCAGAGGTAATCTTCCTCAGCAAAAAGAGGAGGATTGGCAAAAGATGTTAGCTCAGAGCCAGTCTTCCTCACACGCACACACACACACACACACAAAAACAAACAAACAAATAAAATGTAGAAGTCTAAATGATATAAATAGAGATTCTAGCAGGGAGGTGGGTCATACATCTTAAAATGTTGGTGCCGCAGTGACAAATATTCTATTAATATTTTGCTCTAACTAAGGGGTTGCTAAATGAAAAGCAAGAGTTCTTTTAGATCTTTTTCCTTTGATTACAGCTAGAACTTGTCAGATTTTATTGTATGCTATTGCATTGAGAAAAATAGGGAGAACTGTAGGAACAACATGAAGCCATCCACCTCCCAATGCCACTTGTCTTTGCTGTGTTTTGGTTATTAGTAGCATTTGCGTGTTAAGCAAAATTATGTAAGGGAGGAAATTGCTGTCATGGGAGGTAAACAAAACACTGTATCTTAATTCTTTGTAGCCTTTTATGTAATCCAGAGTTAATGTTGTTCATTAATTTCTTATATTGTTCCATGAGAGGCCAAATGTTTATTTGCCCAAAACAAACCAGAATCTTTTGTTTTTTTCTAGATTGTGATACCCTTCTTCAGTCTTTTAATCAAAGATATTTATTTCCTCAATGAAGGCTGTGCCAACCGCCTTCCCAATGGCCATGTCAACTTTGAGGTAAGGGCCGGCTGCAAAAGTCTGAGCACAGAGAGGGCCAGGCCTCTCCAGCATTGCATCCCAGGCCAGGCAGCCTAAGCTGATTCTGAAGTTCTAGAACCAAGTTTTCTCTTTCCCTATTATTTTGTAAGAAAATAAATTAGCTGTGCTATTATTATTAATTATTATCTGAAGGTACTTGAGTAAATTTTTACCTCTACTTAGCAAATACCTGTGCCTAGTTTTTATTAAATTGAGAAAATGTGTAGTTCAGAAGATTAGAAGCCAGAGGGAAACATTAAGTGGAATTGTTTCTTCCAAGCTCATGACTTTTTTTTTTTTTTTTTTTTTTAAGATTTTATTTATTTATTTTTCCCCCAAAGCCCCAGTACATAGTTGTCTGTCATAGCTGCACATCCTTCTAGTTGCTGTATGTGGGATGCGGCCTCAGCATGGCTGGAGGAGTGGTGCCTCGGTGCGCACCCGGGATCCGAACCCGGGCCGCCGGCAGCGGAGAGCACGCACTTAACCGCTAAGCCACGGGGCCAGCCCATAAGCTCATGACTTTTGATGACTGCCTTTAAGTTCTTTTCTTTTATTCTTTTCTAGAAATTTTGGGAACTGGCCAAACAAGTGAGTGAATTCATGACCTGGAAACAAGTGGAGTGTCCCTTTGAGAGGGACCGGAAGATCTTGCAGTATCTGCTCACGGTGCCAGTCTTCAGTGAAGATGGTGAGCAGGCCATTCAGCTGGGGCTGCCACCAGCATCCACAAAGCCTACAATTAGGAAATTAGTGTATAATGTTTGGTGCTGGTTCCTTATATAGTAGGAGGCCTGTCTTCTGACCTATTCCATCTTAAGAGTTTTCTGTTGTACAAAAAACCATTTGATTTATCCCTAAAATATTTGAGGCGGGCAGTCACTTACTATTCACCCATGAACAGTACGTTTCTGTGTTTGAACATTCTTTGTAATAGTAGATCTGCAGAGCTTGGCACAAATGGAAAGTTATTGAAGGATTTTTTCCCCCTGTTTTCAATGGAGAAAAAAATGTATTATGGTATGTTGATATTCAGAGTAATTTGAAAACAAACAAACAAAACAGTTGCTACCTCCTGCTGTTTGAAAAAGTAACGGAAAGTCTTGACCTGTTAAAACATTAGGGAATTTGAGGCAGAAACAATGATTGACTGTGTACAGAAAAAATTGACGAGAAGAGAGTTCAAGTTTGTAAAAGACTTGGGGATTTAGTCTATTGATCTATGTCCTAATATTATAGAAATCAATAGCCTTATTAACTAACAATTTCTCATAGTAGGTTGATAGTGTTCATGATAATGACTGAAGAACATTTTGAATTAACATCATCCATTCCAGAGGGGACTTGATTGGTAGTAATCTTTACAAATAGGATCAATAAAAAGCTTTTAAATCTTTGGATGAAGATTCTTTTTGATTTAAAATTAGAGAGAAAATATTTGGAGGATGAAAAATTGGCCTAGAAAATCTGGCTTTTTACCTACTAAGGGTTTTTAAAAAATCACTACTACCAGGAAAGGATCCCTCTCCCATCCCCTTCTTTGTAAAGAACGTGAATGTGATTGTATGATGGCGTTATGGGGCTTGCATTTATAAGCTTTTTTGCTTCATAAATTGTCTCTTAGTTAATTAAGTGCCTTTTTGACCTAGAGGCCCTTGGATTTTTGTTGAGATGATCATTCAGGGGCAAAGTGATATTCTGTGTTCTTAATGAAACCTAAAGAGTGTGTTTAGGAATGAAGCTTCCTAAAGAGTGTGTTTTGCTGTGGGGTTCAGCTCAGGTTGAACAGGGGATGGATGGTGGTGGATAATGTATCAGGGAGAAGGCTTCAGTACTGATGCATTCTTTCTTTTGGTTGATTGCAGCTCTTTACTTGGCTTCCTATGAGAGTGAAGGACCAGAAAATCATATAGAGAAAGACAGATGGAAGTCCTTAAGGTGAGTCTCATTGCTTCTCATTGCTGTACAAATCTAAAGGAGATGTTGGACTTACTGGAAGAAAGCCACATGCTTTCTATAGGAAGTCCCTACCTGTGTGTCCCAAGTCCTCTGCACCTTTTCTCTTGTCAACTGGATGTTTGTGGCTTAGAATCCTCATTGCTATCATTCAGTTTGATTGCCTTCCATTTTTTCATGCTGGCAGTTATACAGTGACTCTGTTCTTCTTTCTGTCTCCCATTATTTTATGGAATGAGGAACTGAAAGTACCCCATGATATGGGAAAAAGAGCACCAACTCATTTTCTTCATCTAAGATAAGAAGTGCAGACCATATTTATGAACAGTTCTAACACTAAAATTTTATTTGAGCTGAGATAAAAGAGACCTAACTACCAGTTGATTTCTGTAAATTTGAGTGTGTCACTTATGGACTGGATCTTGGTCCCCTCTTTGGTTTGAGAAAGAGAGTTGGGACTTTAAACGTGATCCAGAATCTTTTGAAATTTAAAAATTTTGTTAATCTATTAGTATTTTCAAACAAAACCAAGATAGGCAAATTTGTATTTTAACCATGTGAGATACTTTAATAGGCAAAAGCAGCCCAGGATATAGTAATAATATAATCAAAATTGCTCTATTTGTAATTCTACTAAGAGTCTCTGGGAGCATGTGCCTTTTTGTACCAGAGTTGACAAGCACATTTTCTCTTCTTCCCAAAGTCATTTGGGAGCCTTCGTTACACTTGATATTAGGCTAGGTTTCATGAACGAGGGTATCTAAGATACATGTGGTTTTGTGTGACTGTGTTTGTTTCAAAGAAAAATTTAGGCCTTCTTTGTACCTCTCAATGAGGAGAGAGGAGGTACAGAGGCCTTGGAATTATTATCCTTAGAACAAGTCACGGTGATAGGTGAAGGACTGGAGATGGTTTCTTTGATCCCAGACACAGACATAGAGAAGGTATGTCCAGCACCTGCAATCAGGGGAATGGAACATACCCAATTCTACTTTCATGAAATTTTATGCCTGTTAGTGGCATATTTATATTAAAATTTTGTATTACTTTGTGTTGGTATTCAAGACTATTTACTGCACTCTTTAATATTCATGTGAAAACATGAGCCTCAGAGTACACATCTTGCAGGATAAGATTTGATAAGATTACTCCCTATAGTTATCCTTCTTAGATGAACTTTGCAATCCATATTTCTCCTCTTTTTAATCCCCTCTTTCTGTTTTTTAAAAACATTAGGTTAGGGCCGGCCCCGTGGCTTAGCGGTTAAGTGCATGCGCTCCGCTGCCGGCGGCCCGGGTTCGGATCCCGGGTGCGCACCGAGGCACCACTCCTCCAGCCATGCTGAGGCCGCGTCCCACATACAGCAACTAGAAGGATGTGCAGCTATGACAGACAACTATGTACTGGGGCTTTGGGGGAAAAATAAATAAATAAAATTTTTAAAAAAAAAAAAAAAAAAAAAAACATTAGGTTGGTAAAGCCCCTGAGTACAGCTCAGCTAGTGTTACTTTTCTTAGAGATTTTTAAAAAATTGGTAAGCAGATAAATTGGCTGTCCATAAAGATACCTGGTGTCTGCATTCCTGTGATTCCAGACTTATTAAAATAATCCAGACCTGCCACATACTTCTTTTCTCGTTGTTATTTTTTATGCCGTATTCCTATCAATTAGTGGTTAGTTTGGAAGGGTTTGTAAGTCAAAGGGTTGATAGTGAAAGCCAAAGATTGAGTTACATAATCTCTTCCTGTATCTGTATGGACTGTACACACAGTATACAATAACATTGAACACTTGATTGATTGGAACGTGACCAAAGAATTTCGTGGAGAATTTGGAAATGTGAAGTGACAAAGAGTGCACTGTACTGGCTTAAATTCAGACACAAATCCCTGAATCCATCTGCAGTTGTGCTCAACTCAGAAGTACTCAGGAGTAATGCTTCTGATAAGAATTCGTTGAGGAACTGGCAGAGATACAAATAGAAAGAATGATATATAAGGAAATATGTATGTAAACACATGAAGGTGTATTCTTTGGTATAAACTCTAGTTTCCATGTTAGTTCTATTTCTAGTTCCATGCTGAGGGGCCTTGAAGAACAAACTCTCCTTCGAGTCTGGTTTAAGCTACATACTCTGCCTTTTCCATATCCTGTCTCTTCTCAAGGCCCCACTCCAATGCCTCCCCCGCCTGACCCATCTCTCCCCAGAGAGCCCCTCCTGAACTCATGCACTCTAAGGCGGGTGTCCTCTCCTGTTACAGACCACGTGTTGTTTTGTTTCTTTTCCCTGCCACTGTGTAGGCCCCTTGAGGGCGAGCACAGCATCTTCCTGCCCCACGTCTGCCGCAGCGCTGGACACATGCTCTCCGGTGCTAAGGAATGCCATCGGGTTACTGCAGGTGTTTGCCAAGGCATGGCAACCACAAAGAAATTAAAGAAAATAGGCTGTGATGATTTGCAAAACCACTTGTGTCGAGTGGATGCTAAGACTAATTATTCTAGAATGATAGTACTTACCTGAAAACTGGTATGTACATTAGCTTTGAAGACAATAAGATATTTTTACATAGATGCCTTTGCTGCTGGCCCTAGAGCCCTTCATTCAGACACTTAGGTTCAGCAGTGGCAACAACAAATACACCTCTGAGGGCAGACACCTTTCTTGTCACTTGTTATTTAAGTGCTCTCAATGGGCATGGAATGTGAAGAGGCTTATGTCTGCTAAGTAATAGATAGATGATGAGAGCAGTACTGATCTAAAAGCTTTTATTGTCATTAATGATGTTTGTTTTTATTGTAATATAAAGCCACTCAAGATATAGATTTACCTGTAAACAAAGCTTTTGCTGTCTCCATTAATAAATATTTAAGTGACTAGCACTTCTCCAAAAAAACCAGAAGGACTTCAATGATAGATATTTTTTCTCCCTCTTTTTAACTATGTAAAATGAAACTTAAATCCTAGGAAAGATGAAACCAGTATTAGGCAAGACATTTTAATCCTAATTCAAATAATCTGCCACATTCCTTCTTCTATTAATTACTCAGGTCGAGCCTCTTGGGCCGAGTTTAACAAACGGCACGTTGACTACCGCTGCTGCTGCTGCTGCACGCAGATCATCGAGGGGCTGGCCTTTGTTTTCTGGCATCTAGTCCTACGAAAAATCGTGAAGTCCCTGCAAGCAAGCCCACTCCAGAGCAGATGGGGAACTTATTTCCCACAGCTGACAGATTGACTCAGATTTTGTGGGACCAAAATGTTCACCGAAGACGCTTGAGAAAGAGTCCTCTAAAGATCCCGGCTCTGCACATGATTCATCTCCTGGAATTTCCATGTGAATCACTGCTCTGCACCTGGATGGAGCTTTCTTTTGTGTGTTTTTTTTTTTTATTTGGTTGAACATTTGCTGCTAATGGGACTTGCCCAGCTGAGCGCTGGCTGTTAGGAAGCCCATGTTTCTTTGTTAACTTAAATGAAAAAGGGAGAGGAGGGAGGGGAAATAACCCCTCCGTTTAGATCCCAAACTTCAGCTCAGTGGTGTTGCCAGGAGGGGTGAGACTGGTTGGAGGCTGACCTCGGACTTCGTTTCCCTTAGCGTGTGCTGTGTTGTAAATTCCCCTCTCCCCTCTTCCTACAAGGTTTTGAGTTGGCTGCTGGTTAGCAAACTCCTTTTTACCCATATAAGTTATTTAATATAATGATGAAGCTCAACACTGTGGTAGGAATATAGCCACTAGGAAAAAAAAAGCAGAGTTTGTCATTGGACTGCTCAACGTTCTAGAAGGACTTTTTGTTTTCTTTGCCCTTCTGAGTTGTTTACAACTGACCACTGTGTTCTACAGATGTATTTTTTGGTAGTTTTTTGTTACTTAGTTTTCCATGACGCCTATTTTTTTTTTTCTCTTGTAAATTTAAATTATCTGACTTTCAGGGTCTTGGAAAAACCCGTGGCCTAATTACAATTTAATTTTTTTAACAGACTCCTATTTTTCCTTACCTTGCGGTGTCTGTTGTGACTAAATGTGAACGAGGAGTAAATTGGAAAAGTTACCACCCACCCCCTCCCCTACAGCCATGAACAAAATGAATGAAAAACATCTCGCTGTTAACTCAGAGGTCGCTCTAATTGTGAAATAGTTCACCTTGTTAAACATCTAAAGAAGTCTGTTGTTGCTCTGCAAACAGCCATTTATTTATTTACTCTAGAAACTGTAGAGTAGTAAACCGTGCTAATGAAAAACACAAAACATCATGTTCCAAATAGAGATGTATTTGAAAACTTAATGACATGGTTTCAAAAAACAGAGCATGTATGTAGGCTGCACGCCATCTCAGCAGACCTCAGATGTCTCCAGATTGTCCCTTTACAACCATCAATATATTTTACACTCTGCGGCCAGGAGTTGTGGCGTCCTTCTTTTCTTTTATGGATGGGATTGTTGGGTGAGGGGTGGCCGAAGTAGCAGTAGGTCAACTCAAGTGACTGGCTGAAAATGTGGAGGACGTGCGTGGGCGTTTATTTTCTGAAAATGAATTGTGGTCAGCGTTTAATAAACAGCACTTGCCAGGTACTTTCTAAGTGTTTAGCATGGATCATGATCCCCACTTTTTAGGTGTGGGCATATTAATGATGATGGTTCGTCCAAGACCACATAGCTAATGAGAGGCCCAAAGACTAGGCCTTCTAATCCGAGAGCCCAAGCTTTAAACCACACTGCCAAGCCTTGTCAAACTTCAGTGTAACATTCAAACTTGCACATAACCCGGGGGGTCTTGTTTATGTGCAGATTCAGATTCTGTTGGTCTGGGGGGGGGGGGGGTCCAGGGGGTGCTGATGCTGCTGGCCCTGGAATCTGCTTACAGTAGCAAGTCACCTGCCCCACAGGACTACCTCCTGTCCCGGGTGCTGCCTCTCCCTGAGCTCTGTGCCCCTGGAGTTGTTGCGGTGACAGCAGCATTGTTTATCTTTCGCAAGTCTACATCAGGGGTCAGCAGACTATGGTCTGCTGGCTAAAAGTGTCCGTTTCATGTGGCCAGTGAGGTAACAATGCTTGAAAAAAATCAAAACAAGGGTAATATTTCATGATATGTGAAAATTCTATGAAATTCAGATTTCAGTGTCCATTGATAAAGTTTTATTGGCACACAGCCACACTCAGTTGACACATTTTCTTGTGGCTGCTTTCTGCTACAGAGTCGTATGGTTGTGACAGAGACTGCGACACAGCCTCCAATATTTACTCTCTGGCCCTTTACAGAAAGGTTGCTGACCCCCTATCTAAGTGGTTATTTTGAGTGGCAGAGTAAGTTTGCAAAAACGCTGTAAGGTGTCCATTATGGCCTTAGATACATAAATGTGTCTACTGAAAAACATTTTCCTAAAGTGGTATTAGGCTTAAAAAATGTAATTCTAAGGCTCTTTAAACAAAAAGTTTTCACAGAAGGAGTTGCCTCAGATAAGCGGGAGGTCTAAACCATGTACTGTGTTATCTGTGGAAATCATTTACTCGGCTCGTCTTTGTGCTGTGTGTGGATTGGCGACTCTCCAGCAGGTTATAGATGCATTTATAATTTATGTGGCTGGATGGAAGCCTGGTAAATACAAGCGTAAACAGCACTGGGCAGTGTCAGTGGAGTTTGATCCGGGATGTGGTCTGTCCAGGCACGCCGTGCATTCCAAAGAAGCAGGCTTTGAGTTGAGGCCTGGAGGGAACCTCAGAACACACTGGGTTTGGTAGGAAAAGAAGAGTGCACCTTTCACTACTTGAAGTGTCCCTTGTTTCTGAGGACACAGGCCCAAGAGTTCCCCAGGGGTGGCCTGCCTTTCATCTAACAAAGAACATTGGCCTGCCTTTCATCTAACAAAGGACATCATTGGAAACGGGTTGTCTTGCCTTTGTTTCTGAAGGTTTTCAGCTTTCCCTCTCCACTTGACCTGGCGCTGGCACCCCTGTCCTTTTCCTCATCCCTCTGTACTTTTCTCCCAGCACACTTCTACTTCTTTCTGTGCTTTCTAACTGCTGCCCATCTGCCTCCTGTGCTTAGAATCTCAAGAAAGCCGAGCCCACCATTGGAAGCTGAGTTGCTAAACCATATAGGAATGTTGCACTGTAGATTATTAACGTCCTCTACCTCCTGCTTGGGTGCATTTTGTTTACCCTGTGGTCCGTCTCAACAAAAGACAGTGCCTGCCTCTATTCCAAATGCGTCTCGCTATTCTGACGGGGCGCACACAAATGAGATAGAAAACAGGGTTAGGCTAATTTTCTTTCACAGCTAAGGGTTCAAAGGAATTCCTGAATTCGTTCCCTGGAAAAAAATGTGGTTAGTGACCTGGAAACTACTAACTAAACATATAAAACTTGAAGATATTCTGATGGTGACTTGATTAGCTTTATCCTTAAGACATTTTAAAAGGAAAGACTTGTCAGACTTGAGCTGAAAATTGGGACGCTTCCTGGATAAGTCAAGCCAAAGCTGTTTTCTGGGTTTGAATAATGAGATAATTGCCTCACTTCTCTGCCTCATGTAATCAAGAGCACCAACTCTACTCAATGCTAACAAAAGAGAGATTGGGGTTTGAGGTTTATGTATCCAAACCTTATAGGTTAGGGGCCTGTCGTTCAAACCCAGCAAATAAGGCTCACTCCACGCAAAATAGACCACTGCCTTAGTTCTGTACTTAAGAATCAACTCCTTGGAGCTTTTTTATTTTTTGCTTAATGCACTGAGGAAATTCCCAGGTAGCCAATTCCGTTTTTAGTGCTAGCAGCCTTCACCAGGCATACATGCCACTTCGCAAGCCTGAAACCCCACTTCATTTCTCGAAGATTCAATCTAATAAGAGATCAAACGTCCAAAGGCGTGTGATCACCTTCTGGACAGTATGAGGCAGCTTAGAGTATTGTTAACTGTTAGCATACTTGAGATTAAATGTGCACATAATCCAACATTTTAGGATTTCTAGGGAATGATTTGTAGATCATAATTTAGGGAATTAAAGAGGAAGAAGGGAACTGATATTTCTTAGAATAAAAGAGAAAATTATGTACCCCTTGAAAAGTGCCAAACCGGTGGGTTTTCTACCGTGAAACAAAGTTTGCTTTCTTTTACTCTTTCCACCTACGCTGCTTGGAGAAAATAAAAGCGTGAAATCATCTTTCTCTGGATGAATCATTGTGGGAAAGTAAGTCCAGCAGAATGTGTTGTCAACTTGGTTGAGACATGGCAATTGGAGGATCGTGGGCATTGTAAAATTTTTTGCAATGCGATTATGAATCCTCATAAAGGTAGGTGAGTTGTGTGGGAGGTAAAGTGTTCAGTAAATAAACGTTGACTGCTTGAGCAAGCCAATTATTAATCTGGTTATCGGAGATTCACAGGTTTTTGCTTTATTTGGGTTGAATAAATCTCAAGTGTACCTCTAAGACATCTGGATTTTGGAAACGAGTATAAATTTAAGTGATTCCTATCCATTATCATGATGGCACTATCCCCAGAGATCAGCAAAGGAAATCCAAGCACTGAGGTTTTTTTGTTTGGTTTTTTTTTGCTGAGGAAGATTCACCCTCAGCTAACATCAGTTGCCAATCCTCGTCTTTTTTTGCTTGAGGAAGATTAGCCCTGAGCTAACGTCCGTGCCAATCTTCCTCTACCTTATATGTGGGTCGCCGCCACAGCATGGCTGTGAGTGGTGTATGTCTGTGCCTGGGATCCGAACCCGCGAACCTGGGGCACTGAAGTGGAGTGCACCGAACTTAACCACTACACCAGCCCTGAGGGTTTTTTAATTATTATTATGATTAATTAGATTGTAAAAACTACCCTGTGTTTATTAGTGCTAATAATCATGACAAGAAATCTATCGTTAAAAATAATATTAAAATCCATCATTAAAAAAAACCGGGACCAATGTTGTTTAGGGTTATAGGATAAGTTTGAAATACACTCTGTGAGAGTATTCAATGAATAATATGAGAACTCAGTGCTAAACCTCACTGTCCCCAGATTTCTGGGACTTTGGGAAAGTCACCCCACCTTTCTGAACCTCAGTGTCCTCATCTGGAAGTAATGGGTATGGATTAATTGATGTGGAATGGCCATTCCATGATCTAAGAGTCCGTGGTTTGGGAAAGCACTTTCTCAGCTTGCTGAACCGAAGGGTTCATTAGCAAGTAAATACAGCATCCTGCATTTGAGCCTCCAACCTTCTACTCTCCTGGCTCTTTTGTGTTTTGTTTCATTGTGTTTGAAGAGGGACGGGATAAGAAGCTAATTGCCACTTGATAGGAGACAAAGGAGTGGTCAAGACTCTACTCACCCCTCCAGTTGCACACCACTCTGAAGGATAGAGTTCTTCATAGCAAAGAGTGATTTTTACCCATACCAGGAACCAGAAAATACCCCTTGTGCAAGATCAGTTATATGATAACAAAGATGCTAGATTAAGAAAGCACAGTTTCTAAAGACTACAAAAATAGCCTTGTTGTGCAGACTACATCTTTGCCATAGCAGCTGCTGTGATGGTGCTTGTTTATATAGATAAGATCGTATATAAAGCGCCTGTTCACACCTAGTCATTTACAAATGAGTCGCTATTTGGCTTAAAAGACCAAGACTCAGACAAGTGATGATCCGAGCCCACTTCTGCATTTTGTCAACTTTCATTTCTTGGGCCAGAGGGGGGACCTCCTCTGGAGGCTGCCCAGACTGGAGTAAGCTGCTGCATTTGACCTGCTAGTTAGGGGACATCCTACACTGAAGGGAATCAGGAAGGGCATACAGCAGTCCCCGAGGATAGGTGCCTTCTTTCCTTGGGCTGTGCATGCTCCATGAATCCTAATCCAGGAAGACCTCCACAAAAGACAAAAGATCAAAGGAAGAAAAAGACAGGCAAGAACTCAGAAGAGGGAGAAAAATGTAGAGGGATATGTAAATAACAAAGCTTTTGGCCAGTGGGCGAGTTTAAGTGTGACATTAGCAGTGTCGGAGCTTGTGAGACATTCAAATATTTAAAATCTAATAAGAAAACAATGAAGCTAGAAAATAGGTTCTGTTGGGAAATTATAAACTATTTGCTATTAAAATAGATATTAGGTAAGTGAATAGAACTAGATAACTAAAAAGATTATTTTCAATTTCAGCAACTTACTGAACTGACTGCATGAAATAAATTTTATAAAATTCTGGAAAATAGGCGTCACCAACCCCTCTCCACCTATTCAAAAATTAACAAGGCCCTCGTGCAGGGCAAAGAGGAGCTGGCTGGGCACTTGCCTTCCCAGCCAGGTCAGACTTAGGAAAGAGGATAAACCGCTGGGTTTTTAGGTGCCCCCAAAAGGCTCAAGAATTGTAAAACACTTTCTTTCCCTCAGAGTGTTCTCTTGGCTTACTGATAAATCC